TAATATATAACATCATATATTTTAGTATTTATTTTATTTGCTGTATTTGTTATGTAGTAGAAAGCGTAGGATTCATAAAACGAAAATAAAAACAATAACAAACTTTAATACTAATAAAAATAATTGTTCATAAACTAATGTTACAGTAATTTAAATGACAAATTGGCAGGTTTTTCCAGATACAATGTAAATAAAAAAAATAATATAATAATAATAATAATAATAATAATAATAATAATAATAATAATATATATAACATCATATCATATTTTAATATTTATTTTATTTGCTGTGTTTGTTATGCAGTAGAAAGCGTAGGATTCATAACAAAACGAAAATAAAAACCGATAATATTAATTGATAGTTTAGTAATAATAGTATTAATTTTATTTGCTTTTAAGTAGCCTGTTGTTACCTATTATAAATACAACAAAACATAAATAAAAAAAGTATGATAAACCGATTGACGAACTTGCAATGACAATTAGGCCTAGTTATATTAAATTTAGCGTTTCGAAACTCCATTGGCGCTCCGTATATTTGTTGAAAACAAACCGCGACTGAAATGAAGCGCGACCGAAACGAAGCGCGACCGAAATGATCTGTATTCACCTAGCAGGCTAGCAGTGTTGGATAGGCTGCTTTCGGTGCCTACTATATTTCTTCGCAGACCTGTCGCAAATTCAAACATGAAAAATTGATCCGCATTTATTTTTTGTGTGGAACACAAAAAATCAAATTTCAGTCTTATTTTACATTTTTTTAATGCTTAGGAATGTCTAAATTCAGTTAAACTAGCAATTCCGTACTAGAAATTGCAAATTGCAAGTGAAGTGGTGCGAAGTACAACAGCATATAAATGTTCTTCGAACAAAATTATTTATGCGAGTCAAGTGAAAATAATGAATAATAAAAATATAACAAATAATATGAGACACGACCCATTGTCTATAATTAGAACACTTCTCATTGGGTAACAAAGTTGTAATTTTTTATTTTTGTCAAAAAGTGTCTATAGTGGTGAATTATGGTTTAGGTTTTTTTTTTTATTAAAGTTTCAAAAATTTCTATGTATGTGGAAAATGTAGTTGATTACCAAAGGTTACAATTTTTATTTTGAAGACTGCATGGTATAGAGTGTACATTTTTTTATGGGGCATGTTTCCAAGGGCGGGTTTTCTAGGGGCGAGTTGACTGCCAAAGAGTGTTGACAAAGTGCGAGAAAGCGTGTTATTTGATCACAAGTGCGAGACATCGCAAGTGTGAGCCAGCGAGCCATGACGTCACGACAATAGATACGAGACGTTACTCGAGTTGTGCGAGGTATCGGCTGAGATTTGTGGAGTACAATTCAAAAAACAACTATAGGTCTAATGAATTATTGTGATGTTAAATAGACAATGTTAGCTATCAAGAAGCAACATTGTTTTTCATTGGGACCTTCGTCCCTTCAAGGCTAGGCCTATACCATCCTAGCTAGTCTAGGCCTAGAGTAGGATAAGGCTAGCGGGACATGCGGATGTTGGTACGTGTTGGTTAGTCTACAAACGTCGCCTAAAGTAATTGATTTTACCCGGCAGAACGAAAGAATGAAACTCCGCTTTTCAGTCGTCTTAGGCCCCTGTTTTTTGACAAACAATGACCTTTTAGAGGTCAAATTGCTCTCAAGAATATGGATTGGCTGCTTCGCAGCAATTATATTTATACATTTTTATAACATTATACAAAAATTTGATTTTTCTTAACAACTGAAATTTTGCCGGGAATGGGGCTTTAAATGTTTTTGTAATGTCTTGAAATAATTTCCTCTGTTCAATTAAAAAATAGGGCTTCCGCTTTCATCATTTGTCAATACTTGGTATATTCTTAACTTATGTTATATAATTTGTATTTCATCAGGTGATGACATTCCAGATCACACATGTTTCACTCCAAATCCTCTTCGTTCCCTGACTGAAACCGAAAATAATGCTTGGTTTGGTAGCTATAGAGAATATGTAAACATTTCTTCAGGCCTCGACACAACATTTGGTAGAGTAGTTGATACTGGTAGTGGTGATGGTTTGATTCCTGGAGTTGAAGGCAAAGTTTCTTCATATTATACAAATTACCGTTCTACTGTGCGTCAGCATTTGTCACTTGATCCTGGAAATCATAGAGTTGGTGCGTTCTTTTGCAATTCAACATATTTGGATAATCCATCATCGTATATTCCTTCAATTATACTGGCAAAAGGAGGTTTGTTTTTAAATTTATGTTTATACATTATGTATAATGTGTGGGTATATTTAAGCACAAGGTTGATAGTCAACAACTGATGTCGCTAGAAATCAGAAAACAAAACAAAGAATCCCTATGGAAACATAGTCGTATGTACATTTACCTGTAAGTTATAACCAGAATTTGTTCTTTTTTTAATTTTATAGTTTTCCTTCTTCAAATAATGAACAAAATAACTAAAGTGGATTAAAAAAAGATTACCTATACCTATGTGTTGGTCTCCTGTTTCAAACCATAATAGAAGACCCCACCAATTAAAGACCACCTCTTTATAAAGACCACTTTTCAGTGGTCCCAAATTAACAAATGTCTTTTATCTTTACTATTTAATTAAAGATCAAAGCTGCTGAAGAATTCATTCAATTAAAAACATTGAATTGCCATTTAAACAGAGGCGTATGTAGGTATCTTGAAACAGGGAGGGGAACTGATGGGGGTGCGGAAAGTGAGGGGGCCAGTTTGGAATAAGGTGAAAGGTGATTTTTAACCCCTTTCCCCCCCCCCCCATTTTCAATGGGGCTGAACTGGGGAGATTTTTTATTTTGGCAGCATTAAAGCCCCACACACCCCATACATATGCAACTGCATTCAAAAGAATTAATATGTTATCAAATTCCAATAAGATACAGATGGAATTTACCTTGGTTCACAGCCAAAATGCTGTTACCTTAACAGGTTCCCTTTTAATTTAAAGGGAGAGTTTTACTGTATTTAATTTAATTGTTGATGCATAGGTAATCCAACAACTTAACTGTGCTGATGTGCAGTAAGGGAGACCCACTATGTTACATCATAGAGAAAGAAAATAAAAGGAGTCACAACACAGCAAGATCAAACGATCGATCCTATTTACCGCGAACCTCAAGGCACGGTCAGTGATGACTTTTTAATGACCACGATAATTGATCTGGTCGTAAAACAATTACTGGGTTACTGCCGCAGGGCAATATCGAATGCGCACAATACATCGCTATGACCTCGGATACGACACTCTTCGCTCTGCATGCTAGCTAGCAAACTCAGTACATGCACTGGCTAGCTATGTAGAGTGGCGAGTGTATACATATTACATTAACGATAGCGGAGGGCTTTATATGAGGATAAATGAAATTAACAAATTAATGATGTATTGTGTTTAGAATAGAATGAATTCTATCTAAAACAACTGTCTCTTAGGCCTATCTTAACATTTCTTCCATAGGCCTAGTGTGGTAGCCAGCCACCAATCGGCGGGGCGCATATACATGCCGACATAACCGTTTTTGGCCGGGAGACTCCAGTTTTGGTGACCTGACTCCCGGCCAATTTTTTTTTTCACGTTTTTTCACATGCTCTCCTGGTTTACAAAGAAAATGGCATATGCGTACTAATCTTAATTATATTGTCTTTTTTATTTTGCAATAAAATATTACGAAGAAACCTCAATATTTATGATCTTGCATTTAATATTTTGTTCCGCGACACTTAGAGCAAAGCCTAGCCTCTCCATGAGTCGTGTGAGAGATGTAAATGTGAGCGTTGCAAAGACACGCTGGCCTTGTATGCACTTTCTCTCTGGTATTGCATAGAGTAAGAAATATTGAACATACAAGCGAATAAAATTACAATTTTGATCAAGTAGGTCTCTCCTAATAAATTAGGTGTCAAGTGTACTTTATTCCATTTATTCATGCGACGATCTCACACAGTTAACTCTGGAATGTTCAAAGATTAAAGATTAAGCGTAGCAAACTACAGTAATTCTTGCATGGTAGGTCTAATCATGGATTAATAATTCCATCGCCTGATAAGGGTACGGTATGCCTTCTGAAATACAGTGCCTCCATTACAGAATATATCTGTGGGCCAGTCTAGGCCTATTATGCTAGCTTCGTGGATACTAATTTCATCTATAAAGGTAAGTACCTAACGATTTATATAATTACCATATTTTGATTATTTATTATATTAATAAATAATCTTAAATTGCAGTGGGATAAAGACAAAAGCTAAAATGTATTTTTAAAAAATATAACGAACAGCCAAACGTGCCGTAATTATCGGTATTTTATGTAATAATACTTTAATAATATTGTAATAATAATACTTATTTATTAAATATAATAATTCTAATCGACTCAGCAGTTCAAAATCTAGTGTGCCTAAATAATATTATGATATTAAGGTCATAAACATTTTATAAATGACTTATACAAGGAAAAAATTAAAACACTCGTAAAAAAAGACCGTGAATCGGTATTAATAAATTGAATATTCATGAGCAAACTTTAATATCATAATTTACTTGCGCGCAACAAAAAAGGAAAACAGAATAAGTTTCGATATGTTTTATGATTTAAATTGCACCTAGATTTATCTGTTTTGTAGTAGTAGAAAGTGATGAAATTCGACTTAATAATACGATAATCCCTTGATGAAATTGACGATAATTATAAAGACATATCTTTGAATTGATGTAACTTTTCGAAATATTGACCGATTTTCAAACGATTTTTTTTAGTCGAAAGCAAGGCTTAAACTGCATTACTGCGCATGTGTTATTACTAGATGGTATTAAAATGTCAGTGACTTCTGCGCAGCCTGAGTTTGCATTCTTGTCACCAGTGTTACGCTTGGCTTGTTTCTAAATGAGGGGTGTTACTTAATCAGACCAAAGTCAGTGGCGGTAAATAGGATATCCATCAAAGGCCGTTATCTTAACAAGGTATAATTTAATGGCCCTATGCTACAGCACTGCTGGTCCGCAGGAGCCTAATTGGTCATAATTGGTTCAGCCTGGCACTTGTACTCTGTTGTGACTCCTTTTATTTTCTTTCCCTATGGTTGCATATTTTTTACAGCATATATAAAACCTGAAAAACAAACTCAAACAGTAAGCTTTGGAGAAACAGTAACAATAAACATGAATTTGATCAGTGGTACTGTGATGGATTTACGATGGAGGCTGAATGGAATGATAATGGAGAGTTGGTCGGGAAAGGTTAACGTTACAATTGAGGATGTTACAAAGGCTGATGCTGGAATCTATGAATGTTATTTAAATGACAGAAGAAATGAAGTCAAACATGCTATAATGAGGCTCATTGTACGAGGTATTGTAAATATATCAATAAGTTTAATAAGGACACTTCATTTACTTGATCTCCAACAGTAATACAATGTTTGAAATATTGTTCACTCTGCTATAACCACCAAATCCACCACTTACAGAAAACACACTGTTTAATTTAGAAACACTAAACAGCTTATGTACAGTAGTAATAAGAAAATCAACATCAGTTAATGTAAAACAGTCAACATCTAATGTACAACAGTCACCAGCTAATGTGCAACAGTCAACAGCAAATGTACAACAGTCAACAGCTAATGTACAACAG